TTCTTCTGTCTGTCTGGCAGGCACCATGCCAGAAGCATTCTTGACAGAGCCCCATGGACCTGGAGGTGGTGCTTCGTGGGCGGGTGCGTCCTCAAAACTGCTTGGCAGGAGCATTACCACAGCCTACCTAGATCTTCCTTTGGCTGACATGATTGCAGCACGTGTTCTTCTTTCTGCCTGGCAGGCACCATGCCAGAGGCATTCTTGACAGAGCCCCATGGACCTGGAGGTGGTGCTTCGTGGGCGGGTGCATCCTCAAAACTGCTTGGCAGGAGCATTACCAAAGGCTGTACCTAGATCTTCCTTTGGCTGACATGATTGCAGCACGTGTTCTTCTTTCTGCCTGGCAGGCACAATGCCAAAGGCATTCTTGACAGAGCCCCATGGACCTGGAGGTGGTGCTTCGTGGGCGGGTGCGTCCTCAAAACTGCTTGGCAGGAGCATTACCACAGCCTACCTAGATCTTCCTTTGGCTGACATGATTGCAGCACGTGTTCTTCTTTCTGCCTGGCAGGCACAATGCCAAAGGCATTCTTGACAGAGCCCCATGGACCTGGAGGTGGTGCTTCGTGGGCGGGTGCGTCCTCAAAACTGCTTGGCAGGAGCATTACCAAAGGCTGTACCTAGATCTTCCTTTGACTGACATGATTGCAGCACGTGTTCTTCTTTCTGCCTGGCAGGCACAATGCCAAAGGCATTCTTGACAGAGCCCCATGGACCTGGAGGTGGTGCTTCGTGGGCGGGTGCGTCCTCAAAACTGCTTGGCAGGAGCATTACCAAAGGCTGTACCTAGATCTTCCTTTGACTGACATGATTGCAGCACGTGTTCTTCTTTCTGCCTGGCAGGCACAATGCCAAAGGCATTCTTGACAGAGCCCCATGGACCTGGAGGTGGTGCTTCGTGGGCGGGTGCGTCCTCAAAACTGCTTGGCAGGAGCATTGCCAAAGGCTACCTAGATCTTCCTGTGGGCTGGCATGATTGCAGCACGTGTTCTTCTGTCTGTCTGGCAGGCACCATGCCAGAAGCATTCTTGACAGAGTTTCATGGATGTTGAGGTGGTGCTTCGTGGGCGGGTGCGTCCTCAAAACTGCTTGGCAGGAGCATTACCACAGCCTACCTAGATCTTCCTTTGGCTGACATGATTGCAGCACGTGTTCTTCTTTCTGCCTGGCGGGCACCATGCCAGAAGCATTCTTGACAGAGCCCCATGGACCTGGAGGTGGTGCTTCGTGGGCGGGTGCGTCCTCAAAACTGCTTGGCAGGAGCATTACCAAAGGCTATACCTGGATCTTCCTTTGGCTGACATGATTCCAGCATGTGTTCTTCTTTTGGCAAGCGCAATGCCAGAAGCAGCTTGGTGGGTAGCTCTGTCCAAATTGTTTGTTGCATTGCGCTTGCCAGGCAGAAAGGAAAATTTAAGCTGCTTCAAGCATGTCAGCCAAAGAAACATCAACGTAGGCACTGACTGGGAATGCTCGCGCCAGGCAGATTTGAGAACGCACTTGTCCACCAAGCACCACCACCTCAACACCCGTGCGGTTCCGTCACTATGCACTTTAACAAGGGGTGTTTTTGAAAATATGACGCTACTGGATCTCTCGCGCGACTGATGCCGTTCAGTTGCCCACTAATGAACCAGAATGGGCTATGGATCCCGGCACTTCAAACGCAAATCCCTTCGTGCCAAAAAAAATGGTTTCCACAAATTGTTTGTTTCTATGGTTCTCAAACCCCAGAAGCGTTCCAAATCTTCAGGGGTAGTAGCCGCACACTTGTTGAAAAATGTAGCTCCGGCCCCAAAGCTCGTGAAATTTAACAGTTCTGGCAATGACCCATCATCAAAAATGTCTGGACGCTCTGGACGACCAGCCTCACCTCTAAAGAAATCAAATTCACTGGTTTCACGGAATCCTGGGATATGGTTGGATTTCAACTTTCGGATCCAGTACCTAGACATTGCCATAGCAATAGTTCTACCCAAGGGTGGCTTTCCGACATTTGAGACTCCATGCATACCAAGAGCTTTGTCAGTGAAAGAAGGGAAGAGTTTCTCCAAGATCATGAGGACTCCGGGCTCAACATCAACCAAGGTAAGAGGAAAGTCATGAACAGGTAAGGCCAAAACACCATCATTCATGAGGTTGCGCAAGGCCTCTTTGATCAGACGTTCCGGCCATTTGCCAACTGGGTTGTCCTCTGAAATAAACTGCTTTGAGATCCAACGCAACCTTACTAGCGGGTTCCCTTTCAAAAAAATGTGGGGTTATAAAGGCGGTTCAAAAACATGAAAGTTGAAAGTGTAGCTTGGTAATTTACCACTTTGAACTGATTTTTAACAAGTGTCCTTAGCAACCCGTTTTTGATCGAAAAAAAAGTGTCTCCAGGACACTTGTTGTAAGTCAAGAAACACCAGTTAAGACAAAAAGGCCAAATCCAAAACTAAGTGAAAAATGTCAGTTTAGCTATTGGATAGGTAAGCAACTGTGTGTTGCTGTGGTGGGTGCCGGGACCATGTTTTTCGATGTAGTCGAAGCCTGCATCGATATCATCATCATTGAGCCCAGTGTAGAAGTTCACCTTGCCCTCTGCGCTGTTTCCACCTGCTGGCTGAAGGGAATACATTTGGACTTGAAAACCTCCCATTTTTTCCATCATGTCGTAGAGTGCCTTTTTGGTGTTTTTCGCATTGCCATGCCACATCACTCCATGACATTCACCATAACAAAGGGACTTGACGAAGTCGGTCTTGACAATACAAGGGAAGATCACATGCTTCAAGACAAAGTGCTTTCGATTGGGAGCAGGCAATGCAACAAGTTGACTTTCAAACTGCATACCCGGCGAGTTTTTCAAGCAAAAGGGTTCTGGCAAGTCATGAAACCTACCTTCCACGCAAGCGTTTGTGACCTCATTGCGCTTTACCTCAGGGAATCTACCTCACCAATCAAATCAAAGACATGCTTGACTTTCGCATCATCCTTCACAATCTCCAAGGGCAAGCCTGATGGTTTTACAACCCCAGGTGGTAACTCCACCACATTAGGTTTGCTCAGACTCCGGAGCTACAGCGCATTGGTTGCGTAGAAGGCATGTTCAAGGGAAATTTCGGAGCTATCCATCATAGTTGCTAGTTCTACTACTTCCTATTTCCTAGCTAGCCTTGATTGGAACAGCTGCTCACCAAGGCACTCCGAACGCTGCGGACGTTAAGTCCGAACATTATATTCAAAGTCATTCCGAATTATTCGGAAAGTTTGCCCCAAAAGCGAAGTTAGCTCAATGTTTCCAAAACATTGGCAGGCACCAAAAAAACAAAAAACAAAGTGAAAATTGAGAAAACATCGACAGGCACCAAAAAAAAAAAAAAAACGGAATTTCCAGGAACTATGGGCCCACTTCTGGGTAGTTGCTGGAAATTTTGTGTTTTTTTTGTTTTTTTGGTGCCTGTCGATGTTTGGTGCATCTAGTGGTTTGGTGTTTTTGGTTTTTGTTGGTGCGTGTCAATGTTTTGTGAAGTCAGAGTCACCAAACCTGCACAGGCACCAAAAAAACAAAAACCAAAGTGAAAGTTGAGGAAACATCGACAGGCACCAAAAAAAAAAAAAAAAAACAGGACTATGGGCCCCCTTCTGGGTAGTTGCTGGAAATTTTGATTTTTTTTTTTTTTTGGTGCCTGTCGATGTTTGGTGCATCTAGTGGTTTGTGTTTTTTTTTTGGTGCCTGCCAATGTTTTGTGAAGTCAGAGTCACCAAACCTGCACAGGCACCAAAAAAACCAAAAAACCAAAGTGACAGTTGAGGAAACATCGACAGGCACCAAAAAAAAAAAAAAAAACTTCTGGGTAGTTGCTGGGTTTTTTGTTTTTTTTTGTTTTTTTTGGTGCCTGTCGATGTTTGGTGCATCTAGTGGTTTGGTTCGTTTGGTGCTTGCCAATGTTTTGTGAACTCAGAGTCCCCAAACCTGCACAGGCACCAAAAACAACAAAAAAAACAAAGTGAAAGTTGAGGAAACAAACCAAAAAAAAAAAAAACAGGAACTATGGGCCCAATTCCGGGTAGTTGCTGGAAATATTGTTTTTTTGTTTTTTTGGTGCCTGCCGATGTTTGGTGCATCTAGTGGTTTTTTTTTTTGTTTTTTTTTGTGCCTGCCAATGTTTTGCATATGTCACCTCAAGATCATGATGAGAAAAAATTGCGTTTACTAGGGTTTTAGACCTTCCGAGTGCATAAAACATCGGTATTTACAGTGTTTCGTCATCATTTTTAATGAAAATTCACTCCCCCACGGGGTGCCGCCCTCTAGTTTTTTCACCCTATAAAATGGATAGTAATTTTTACAGTAAAAACTGAAAAAACATTTCCAGCCTGCATTTTGGTTTTTATTAAGGTCCCAAGTCCTCCATTTTACGAGGTTTATTTCAACAGGGATGGCCCATGTCCCATGTCCTAATGTCATGCAACACCATGAAAGAACAGCGTATGAATATATAAACAAATCTTTATCGCTTAGACCAGGGGGGACAGAAAATTGTAATATTATTTTTTTCGGGGGTACGGGGGGTGAAATATGTAATATTACGATCAACTCCCACCATTTGCCCCGCTTCTGGAAGAGTTTGACGGGATCATTATCATCATTATCATCATTATCATCATTATCATCATTATCATCATCATCAACAACAACAACATCAACAACATAATTGGTATGATCACCGTCTTCTTCTGACAGAATCCTTGAAAATTGGTTCGAAATTCACAGTTCCAGTACTTGTCGTTGCACTAACAGCTCAAACAGAATCCTAGCGAACCGTTGCAAAATGCACAGTTCCAACAATTTTGTTAGAACGAACGGCACTAACAGAATCCTAGCAAATTGCTGCAAAATGCACCCGCCCCACCCAACCTTAAACCATGATAAATAGATCATCTTGGGCGCAGCATCAAAGTCCTGCGCAAGGTCGAACAAGCGTTACCATCGCCCCACCCCACCCCACCCCACTGATGCAGCATGAAAGTCTTGTGCAAAGTCGGGTGAACGTTAGCATTTCCCCACCCCACCCCCACCCAACCCCATGGCATCGGCATCTTGCGCAAGGTCGAGGGAACGTGGCCGAAAGGACGTTAGCATCCCCACCCCACCCCACCCCATGTGAGCATAGCATCAACTTCTTGTGAAAAAAAATGTGTCGGGAACGTGGTCGAAAGAACGTTGACATCCCACCCCACCACCCCCATGTGATTCTAGCATCAACATCTTGCACAAGGTCGAGGGAACATGGTCGAAGGCACGTTATAAATCCTCCCCCCCCCCCCATGTGATCGTAGCATCAACACATCTTGCGCAAGGTCGAGGGAACGTGGCCGAAGGAACGTTAACATCCCCACCACACCCCACCCCACCCCAAGTGAGCGTAGCATCAACATCTCGTGCAAGGTCGATGGAGCCTGGCCGAGGAAACGTTAACATCCCCACCCCACCCCACCCCATGTTGCCCCATGGACCGTTGGACTCCCATGGGTCTGCATGCAGCTATGTCTGCTGGTCGGATGCCTTGAGTGCTTCCAATGTCTTGGCAAAAACCTGAATGTGCTGCTGTGCATGGGCTGGTTTGGCATTTCGACGTGGCACCTCGGTGATGAGTACGTCAGCGTGTTCCAACTGATATACTTCATATGGTGGTTTGCAAATGGCCTGGCGTTCCCACAGCACTCCTTTTCCGTCAGGCGTACGGTTTTTTGGCTGGCACGGCCTGGCTTGCCAGGACCAGGATGGAACAACTTGGAAATGGCAGCCCGGTTTGATCCGTGTGGCATGGGCCCAACATGGAACGTCATGACCTGGTGAGATGTGAGACATGGTATCTGCGGTTTGTGGAGCTCATAAACCTGCTGGGCATCATGAACTCTGGTGCGAAGGCCAAATCGGTTGCCTGATCTCACTATGCAAGTCCACGGTTTTTTCGCCTGAGATGCAATCATCTCATTCTGCTTGTCCTGCTTGTTTAGCCAGATCAATCGGTACCCGCTGGCTGGTGAGCGACCGCCAGGGGTCCTTGGCTCTGCATAGCACCCCTCGTTGCCAGATGCTTTCGGAGTGTCAGTGATATCGTCAGTTTCAAGGCGAAAGAAAGCATGCCATGAAATATGTTTGCATCGGCAGGTCTGGTCTTCTCAAGTTTCTCACTGAGATATTGACGATCCCAAACATCCATGATTGGCGATGTACCATCGGTCTTGGGCTGGAGTGCTTGGACTGTGGGCACGAGGAGTCTCACAGGTTTTGCAATGACGGTTTCCCATTTCTTATCGATCTCATCCCTGCACACTGCAAACCTGACAACTGTGGTGTGCGCCCCTTCAACCGTCAATGTTTGATCAGGGACAACTCGACTGACATGGCTGGTGCCTATCTGTACAAATTTTGCTCAAAGCGGAATGGGTTCGCTGGTCTTTTCATACCGGGCGGGCAACCTGATCTCATCTCCTACTCCATGCAGCAGCGGATCTTGGTGATCCAGGATGAGCAGGGCCAATCCTCTCTGGGACACTGGCTGGGCAAAACGGAAAGTATGGCACTGCCTGCAATGCTTTGACAATGACAATTCCGCTGACGTCAGGACCAATGCTGGTGATTGGTTTCTGCTAGACTTCGTTTCCATCAGCATCTTGGAAAATTCCCTTGGGGATACTGATATCATCGACACTTACTTGGATCGGCATTTTTGGTTGGGAGGGTGTTTTTTTCCTTATGTTTTTTCTATCCGAAGAGTTGAGTTTCGGTAGCCCTTTGCCTCATGACCTCTTGCAACTCACTGGCCAGACATTACACATTGAAAACCACAAACGTTGGGGAATTCCTGTGGCATGGCGACTTTGTGCAAGGTACATGTGTTGGGCGTGTCTTGGGTCAGTACTTGCAACCATTCATAGCCTCCATTGGATGTGTAGTTATCCACCTTTCCATGGGCAAACTTCGGTTGGATCGGGAACCTATGGTGTTGTGCAAACATAGCTGAAACGATGACACATGGGGCATCTGCTACCGGCAGCGTTTGTGCATATCAGGTCCTCGCAGTTGTTGGGAATGCTGGCAATGGGGCAATGGGGGCATGGACTGCTTGTCCTGTGGCAGTCAGCATCTTGACGTACAATTGGATTTCATTTTCAGCAACATATGCTTCCCGGCGGTAAAGCAGTGCAATACGGTGAATGGGCTCATGAAAAGTTAGTTCCAATGGCATCGTGACTTGATCTCTAGTGGTTCCACTTCCGTACTTGGACATCTCTTTCAAGAAAACTTGGTCATATGGCTTGGTCGTGGAAGCTGATGGGTACCTGGTTCCTCCACTCGTGGTCATGCAAATTGCAGGAATAAGGCTATCAAGTTTGGTTTCGGCTACAACGATGGAAACTACAGTGGCCTCTTTGCCAATGAGGATGAAGGTTGGCTGATGGTCATCTTGCCGAATCACTTGAATCACATGGTACTTGGTTCCATGCGCATGGTGTTCTTTCTCAAAGGCCTCAATAACCCCCAGCATTTCTTGTGTAAGTCCATCATTGGATTCACATTCATCAACTGGGAAGGCGTCATGGACCTTTGCATCAATTCGAATCCGTTTGGCTTCAGTGGCATCTGAGGGCATTGCGTTCTTTGTGTGATCTGGCTCAGCATGTCGTTTGAGGCTGGCTGAGTCCAGTGCAGTGGGTGCAAATGCCTGTAAACCACCAGTGGTTTTCTCAGGACGGATGGTTTTGACTAGTGGTTTTTCGTCGGAGCATGCTGTGGAAAATGTGCGTTGGCCTTTCTGCTCTAGCTGTGTGGTGATCACC